GAAACATTCCCAGGGAAGGGCCATCCACAACTTCTCTGGGCAACCTGTTCCAGTGTCTCTCACCACCCTCACAATAAAGAATTTCTTCCTGGTATCTAATCTAAATCTACTCTCTTTCTGTTTGAAACCATTACATATTGTTCTACCACTACACTCCCTGGTCAAGAGTCCCTCCCCAGCTTTCCTGCAGGCCCCCTTTAAGTACTGAAAGGCCGCTATAAGGTCTCCCCGGAGCCTTCTCTTCTCCAGGCTGAACAACCCCACCTCACTCAGCCTATCCTAGTAGGGGAGGTGCTCCAGCCCCCCGGTCATCTTCGTGGCCCTCCTCTGGAACCATTCAAGCAGGTCCATGTCTTTCTTACAATGGGGACCCCAGAGCTGAATACAGTACTGCAGGTGGGGTCTCACAAGAGCAGAGTAGAGGGGCAGAATCCCCTCCCTCGACCTGCTGGCCACACATCTTTTGATGCAGCCCAGGATGCGATTGGCTTTCTGGGCTGCGAGCAAACCTTGCTGGCTCACATTCAGTTTTTCATCCACCGACACCCCCAAATCCTTTTCTGCAGGGCTGCTCTTGATCCACTCATCGCCCAGCCTGTATTTGTGCTTGGGATTGCCCTGACCCAGGTGCAGGACCTTGCACTTGGCCTTGTTGAACTTCATGAGGTTTGCATGGGCCCACCTCTCCAGCCTGTCAAGCTCCCTCTGAATGGCCTCCCTTCCTTCCACTGTGTCCACCATACCACACAGCTCGGTGTTGTCAGCAAACTTGCTGAGGGTGCACTTGATCCTACTGTCCATGTTGCTTACAAAGATGTTAAACAGCACTGGTCCCAATACTGACCCTTGAGGAACACCACTCATCACTGGTCTCCACTCGGACATTGAGCTCTTGACCGTGAATCTTTGGGTGTGACCATCCAGCCAATTCCTGATCCACCAAGTGGTCCATCCATCAAATCCATGTCTGGGTAGTGTCAAATGCTTTGCACAAGTCCAGGTAGATGACATCAGTTGCTCTTTCCTTATCCACCAACACTGTAACTCCATCATAGAAAGCCACCAAACTTGTCAGGCACGATTTGCCCTTAGTGAAGCCATGTTGGCTGTCACCAATCACCTCCTTATTTTCCATGTGCCCTAATATAACTTCCAGGAGGACAGGAAGATCCACTTCATGATCTTGCCAGGCACAGAGGTGAGACTGACTGGCTGGTAGTTCCCCGGGTCTCACTTTTTTCCCTTTTTAAAAATGGGGGTTATGTTTCCGCTTTTGCAGTCGGTAGGAACTTTGCTGGACTGCCACAATTTCTCAAATATGATGGATAGTGGCTTAGCAATTTCATCTGCCAGTTCCCTCAGGACTCAAATAATTGATCTGAATTTTTGAGTGTTGCCATACTTTCAAAGAATTGCAGGACTTTGTTGCTAATTTTAAAAGGTCATGAGAACGAGTTTCACGGAGCTTAGTTGCTTCTCTGGGAAGTGAATTAAGTATAGAACAACGAGACTTCCTTCATGTGTCAGAAACTGAAGTTTAAAGAAGAAAAAAGCCTTAAAGATTTCACTTTTTTTGTAACTTTTTAACAGCCCCTCTTCAGAATAACTACATCTCATGTTCCTTTCTTAAGAAAGTACTATACAAGATCTTCTTCAGAACAGCTTTCCAACCTTCAGCACTTGAATTTTCCCCTACCGCATGCTGCTTCATTATCAGATCAGCTCTAGATATAAGTGACCTAGCAAAGCAGTGTACTGTCTATCTGATGTGAGACCTCATTTCTCCAGGAAGGCTGGTGTTGAAACACTGACCATGCAACTTTTGGCACGCAGCTTTGTGTTAAGTCCTCATAGAACTCCAATATAATCAAATGAGGGACAGGCGGGTCTTCTGATGGGTGACTCAGAGCACCTAAGATAGGCTCCTACTTTATGTCCCAGCACCCAGAGAGGAAGCAGCTAAGTTAGATAACTGAAACTACATGAAGTGAAAGCATGTGCCACTGTCTGCAGCATTCTTGTACCCTGAAGATTTGAACACCCTTATTTCCTCAAGCAGCACAGTCTTTCGCTTGAGTGAACGGACACTGCTTATGTAAAATCTTGTACTCACTGGAGACAGTGAGAGAGAAAGAGCAAGAAGATGTGTTTCCAAGTTATTTCTCAGAACTAACTGCAAATGGTTCTTGTTTCTTAAAGAATTTTCCACTTCCCAGCAAGTGTCCTCCTCTAATGCTCATTATAACAAAGGAAGGGATTACTAAACAGATGGATGTCTAGTAAAAAAAACCCTGGGGATTCTCACAGTTGGGTTTAAATGTTTTACAACATTACTGATTTTTTTTTGGTGTTAATTTAACATATTTTAACTTTGATTTTTGCCCAAAATGTTTGATCTTGGTATCTAGCATTCGGTAACTAAATCCATCTGTAGACAGCCATATAAAAGATGCAGAGTAACTGAAATGCTTTTGAATCATCTAACCAGGGTGGGAATTTCTGATATTTTTAAATGCCAGGATACACTTATTTAGGTGCTTAAATATTGACTTAATTATCTAATGCTAGGAATGCATAACTGAAAAAAAATTAGTCTGTTCCAAGTGAAAACCTTTTGTTTGGCAAACGCAATGCTTAAACTTTGTTTACAGAGTTGCATGGTCTTCTCCCACGGTCTCTGCCTGTTCCCTTCCCTGAAAGACCAGCTTATGGAGAAATAAAGTAATACCACCCTTGTGGTATACTAACCTGGTTGGTGGTTTTGCCTTAAAAGATTCCTTTTAAAAGATGGCTGTGATATTGCAAAGTCATGATAGAGTCTGAAGAAGTTTAAAACGAAAGAAAAAACTGGTTTTGAAAACAAATTTTTCCCCTTAAAAAATAGTTTCTCTTGAAAGAGAGAACTCTCTTTCAATTAATTTAATGAGAAGTCCTTCTCCCACTCACCTTTAAAGGGCAGAGGCCTTTTTTGATTTACTCTAAGGGCTTTAGTT